TAATGGGGTAGAATAGAAGAACAATGGAATGATAATGAACATGAAGCATTATATAATGCCACATGTGTCATTATATAATGTTTCATGTCCATAAAATAGTAAATATAAAATATAWCAGACTCTGAATAATCATAACATTTATTTTCTGATGGCTTACTTGCTCAAATGAAAAGTACAATTGTTGAATATTGATCCCGAAATAACAACATTGGCTGCGTTAGAAGTATCTGGTAAAACCATGTTACCTAACAATTCATCTGCGACTTCGAAATCTAACGATTCAATATCTTCTAGAACTTTGGAACAGCTTACGTTTGTTTCAGAAGAACTAGTTTTAGTGCTAGTGGCAACCGTAGAGCTATTATCTGTAAGATTTGCGAGCGGTGGTCCGAGCAGGTTGCTCACAACCGTTTCTTGCTGTAAGCTAGATTTTTCATACTTAAGCAAAGCATTGGAGCGATGCCCTGTCCTATCGCGTATCAATTTCTCGTCTACCTGATTTTGAAACAAACGCGAAGCGCAAGTTATTCTTAAACAATGTGACGTCTTACGCTCCATCCCAGCTTCTTCACACAAGTTTGGCAAAATTTTGTTTAACGTATTAATCCCTACAGGTGAACGGCAAAAAGTGTTATCCTGAGTATTTGCATTTGGCTTGAAATAAAATGCATCTATATTCTTAGCTAGGTGTTTGATTTTTTCCATATAAGTAGCAAAACAATTTACTAGACAAGGCTGATGATTAGCATCTTTGCCAGCGCAGCAAACGTGCTTAACTACTCTGGGCTTGTATTTTAAATCTTTCAAGCCGCCGTGGTATGTTTTTGAAACGCTTTCATCGTAGGTAACTGACTCAGAATCTATTCTAAAATTGGAGCACCTTAAATTCCTATGTTCATTTGAGCGTAATCCAAATAATTTACCGTTATAGAAGTAAATTGTTTTCAGCAAGGAATTAGCCGAGTGGCAGCCCAGAAGACCCATCTTCCAAAAAGCAGCTTCATCTTCTTCTGTTATTTCTTCTCGTTCCGCCATTTTCGATTGTATTCCCACGCCATGTTGGGTAGCCTGCCGCATTTCCGCATCCAAAGCACGTCTGAATATGTTTAGCCTTGAAAGAAACAAATATTAATGAAAATATTAATAATGACTTTAACTCAGAATTACAAGAAGGATAATCGAATCAAACCCAGAATATCATAACCATACTCGTACAAAAATAAACTTGTTAATTACCTTCTATCGTTTTGACTTAGCAGTGAAATAGCATTTCCACTTTCTGCTAGATGGCGTTGAAGGCCAGCAACAATCATATATAGACTTCTTCCAGGATACCTCTCTCCGTTTACCTTCACCACCTCCTGGACAAACTTTGTCAACCAAAAGTTAAGAGTTTCTGCATTCATGTTGGCAATATTCGTTTCTAATGATTGTACTTTTCCAATGTCAATTTCAAACGAACTCTGCTCTTTGCAAGGATCTTTGTTTACTCTATAGATTTGCCATTCGGAAAAGACTTTAAAGGCCCATTTCGTAGAGGAACGAGTGGACTTTGGGATACAATCTTCCAATGTGGTTCTTTCTTCTTCTTCAGACTTGGGTGGCCTAAACTGCCGCTTAGGAGGCATGTTGTTTCTGATGCAAAAGCTAAGCACCGAAAGACTACATATGTGAATAAAATACAAAATTCTGCACATTTGAATTTCTAATTTCATTCCTCTATGATTACTGTAGCTCAATTCCCAAATGCAAGCCACATTCCTTTTCCTTTTGTTTTTTCATATGAGTCCATAGTTTTCATCGATATTGTACAAAATGGTCATGAATTATAAATGAATTTCTTAAGCCATTCAATAAACTCGCAGATCGTGTTTTATCAGGTATAAAATCCCTCGGGCTTCGCCCTCGGGATTTTATAACTGATAAAACACTCCTGCTCGTTTATTAAATAGTACATATAAAACGCTTCAAAGAAATTAAAATGCCATACTTCCAAATGGCTGACCTCATTCAAAGAAGTTCAGAAGTAAAAAGTTGGCGCCAAAATTTTTTCTGAGCTGATTGGCGGGGAAGAAATTTTTTTTGTTGGCTTCCTTTGTGCTGTCATATAATATGATTGAAACAAAAGAGCTACCGTAGTAACTGCATGGCATCTTTTACCACTGGGAAATTGGGTGATACACTTCTGTCAATCAAATAAATTGGTCGGTATCTTTACTATTCCCTGATTGACGGAAGTGTATTGCTAACTTTCACTTTAAAAATAAGCCGGTCTTAATTAAAATCTCTATAGCATATCATTTACGCTACCAAAACAACCATTCACCTCTAAAGCGCTGTTAAGTTTTGAATCACGCATTTCAGTTTGCYGAGGCTAAAATGAAGCCGAAACCTATTAATTTCTCGCTTGATACACTTATTTCAATAAAGTTAGTCACCAAAAAACCTAGAAAGCYGAGATCACTGAGGATCATGGGAATTTTTTAATATCAAACAAGTAAAGCTTTTCATACGATTTGCAGCTTTAGGATGCTCAGAAGAGGTGAGACTGTAACTGCTAAAAGATCTAAAATCCCTCAATCGTTATTAAAGCAGTTGAAACATGTAAAATGTATCTACCCATAATCCTTGCAGGTCTCAGGTTTGTAGCTTTTCAGGTGACTAACTTTATTGAAATAAGTGTATAAATACCAGCCTAGGTACTAGTGTATTCAAAGTGCTTCTAATCTTGGTAATACACAAAAAATTCCACGCTTACTCGTTTCTTTTACAGTCAAACAAGCTCTTCCCTGTTAGMAGAGTCTCTCCCCTTTCTCTCTCTTCTTTCAGGCGGGGAGGAGGGAGACTCTGCCGATGTAGAGCTTTTCCTTTGATACGACGCCGCCGTCCACGATAGTGGACGAACGAAACCAGTCTTAAAACCGGTTTTTAACCGAGTACAYGTAGTGCACATGAGCAAACGTAACACATAGTATAGCGCCAAACGTTGTTTGACGAGAGCGGCTGTCATAACCATGACAGCGTTGCTAAGTTACGCCACGCGGCCGCGACAAGTATAACGTCCTACATCGACAGAGTTGATTTCCATCTTGCTTTGAAGCTTGCATTAAACGAACGTTGTAAATGTGAATGTAGTTTGTATGTTATTTGTATCACCCAGATAGTATTTTCACCATTACAGTCAAACCAGCTCACACGTTCCAAACAAGGTTCAAACATTCAGTTTATTTTTCGAAGTCTTATTTGATACTGTTGACAATTAATAACCTCAATAAAATCGTCAAAATGTACAATAAGGTAAAGAAATCTTAGCTGACCTTCAATAAGTAGTACCTCTTTCGCCCTGTGTACCTATATTTTGGCTAAGCTTTATTATTGAAAGGATTTGGTTTTATAGGACTATGAGTCTGCCATTTTTTTCAAAACATGTGCCCAAAAAACTTGATTCTTTGTCAATATTACTTGAACCTTGTTTTCTGCTTTAACTTTTATTGAAAATAAACGCTTTCTTTCGTGCAATTCGAGTAATGRATTTTGAAATTCCTCGAATATAGATGCGCAGTACATGTGCGCGTTGACAATAGCATGCACCGTCCTTAATCGCAGTTTTCTTATCAAGCACAATTTTCATTTAATATTCAATAATCAAATATATAGAGGATATTACATGGGCGCGCGGAGATACGAAATTTATCTTCGAGTGTTGAAAAAATCTCTCATGAGTGAGCGCAGCGAACGAGTGAGAGATTTTCAACACGAGAAGATAAATTTCGTATCTCCAAGCGCCCATGTAATATTGTTTATTATATAATTATCCATAAAACCAACTTAACAAGCTTTTTATTATCATAAAAAGTTTTTATTTATAAACTAATAGCTTAAATACACATG